CCTTATGTCATCATTTTGTAGTTGTGTCGAACCTTGCATAACTCGAAGTATTTTCATAGGTTCATTTCACTTCGAGACAAGATGTTTAAAATGACTTCATTCAGATTTTTAAACAATTTCTGTCTCTGTTTTGGTTTGGTTGTTGTTTTACGCCGCACTCAGCAATATTTCAGCTATAAGGCAGCAGTCTGTAAATTATCCAGTCTGAACCAGACAATCCAGTGATCAGCATCTTGAGCATCGATCTACGCAATTGGGAACCAATGACATGTGTCAACCAAGTCATCGAGCCTCACCACCCGATCCCGTTAGTCGCCCCTTTCGACAAACATGGTTTGCTGAAGACCAATTCTAACCCTGATCTTCACGGATCTTTTTCCCTGTAAAAATCTGTTTAACTAAGTGTGGCTGTTCGCTGTTGCTGAAACACGCGCGACGCTGTAATGTCAACGATAACAGGCGCTCCCAAAGCTCAGCCAAACTTACATCGCCTTTCCTTTACAATAATAACAAATTAAGAACGGAAACGTTAAAGTCGTCTTGTTTTTCCAGATGCTGCCTGTTGAAGACTTCTGTTACTCGAGACTTGATGTTAGGAAAAGCTGTGAGGAAAACAGCACAGAGTGTAAGATAATGGAACATAAAAATGGCTCCGCTAACCGCAGAGGGGAAGGCGGAACCGATGCAGCTATGAGCTGATTCTCAGACTGAGATACGACACGAGAACATAAAATGCCGACCTAGCAATATACGATATTAGCATTCCATGTTGGTTCTCGATTATTTACAGCCGCCGCCATGTAGCTGGAATATTGCTGAGTGCGGCGTAAAACAACAAATCAACCAACCAGCCAACCAATCAACGCATAATGAATGGGGCGGTGGGGGTAGCCTAGTGGTAGCCTTGGGTAATGATTAATAGGTTAAATGATAATTTCAAAAAATAATTTATGAATAAAATTAGCCGATTATCCCTGCACAGTCCGCTTATCTAGTGAGTGAGTGTGGTTTTACGCCTCGTTCAGCAATATTCCCGCAATATGATTCTGTAAGCCAATTGGTAGAAGTGAGATTTACGCCGCTTAGTAATAGGTCCAGCAATATCACGGCGGGGGAGACATCAGAAATGGGATTCACACCTTATATGTGGGGAATCGAACCAGGGTCTTCGGCGTGACGAGCGAACGCTTTAACCACTAGGCTACCCTACCACCCCGCTTATCTAGACTTGCATCTTTAAACTATAAACCTACTATACATACATGGGCTTAATATTCAGTACAGCCTGGGAGCTGTGTGGTTACAGCCTTGGCTTGCCCTACCGAAGATGCCGGTTCGAGTCCTAACATGGATTAAATGCATCAAGGTATAAGAGGGGATGCAATGTGGTCATATTGCTGGAATATTGAAAGCGGCGTAAAACTACACTCACGCTAGAAGTGACAAAATGTGTTCAAAGAGCCTTTATAGGATTGTTTATTGGCTATACACTTTTAAAGCCGTTAAACAATACTGTTTATCAGAATTAGAAATTCAGGACTGCCAATAACTGACGCTATGATATTTTTTCAGACTGTATTCATGTTTAACCATTTAAAGGCGGAACTGCGGAAGTCAAATGTCAAATATCATGATGTTTCAAACACAAAGCTATGTGGTGGGTCCTTTAGTTCGTTCTGTTGACCTCTGTGTGTTTGATATGACATTAAAATAGTTACATTAGAGACAAGGCGATGAGTAAATATTTTGGAAGCTGGGCGAAGGAACATTGTAACGTATTGCTTCTACACGTCATCGGTACGTTGCAAAAAAATGGTTCCATACTTCATCTCTACAGTGTAACATGATGTATCTATACTTTATCTCTACAGAGAAACATAATGTATCTGTACTTTATCTCTACAGGGTAACATAATGTATCTATACATCATCTCTACAGTGTGACATTATGTATCTATACTTTATCTCTACAGGGTAACATAATGTATCTATACATCATCTCTACAGTGTGACATAACGTATCTATACTTTATTACTACAGTGTAACATAATGTATCCATACTTCATCTCTACAGTGTGACAGTATGTATAAATACATTATCTCTACAGTGTGACATAATATATGCATACTTCATCTCTACAGTGTGACATAAAGTATCCATACTTCATCACTACAGTATGACATAATGTATCTATACTTCATCTCTACAGTGTAACACAATGCGTCTATACTATATATCTACCGTGTGACATAATGTATCTATACTTCATCTCTACATAGTGACATAATGCATGCATACTTCATCTCTACAGTGTGACATAATGTAAGCATACTTTATCACTACAGTGTGACATAATGTAGCCATACTTATCTTTACAGTGTGACATAACGTAAGCATACTTTATCTCTACAGTGTGACATAATGTATCCATACTTCATCTCTACAGTGTGACAAAATATATACATACTTCATCCCTACAGGGTGACATAAAGTATCTATACTTTATCTCTACAGTGTGAAATTATGTATCTATTCTTCATCTCTACAGTGTAACATAATATATCCATACTTCATCTCTACAGTTTGACATAATGTATCCATACTTTATCACTACAGTGTGACATAATGTAAGCATACTTTACCTCTAAACTGTAAGATAATGTATCCATACTTAATCTCTACAGTGTGACATAATGTATGCATACTTCATCTCTACAGTGTGACGTAATGTATGCATACTTTATCTCTACAGTGTAACATAATGCATGCATACTTCATCTCTTCAGTGTGACATAATGTATGCATACTTTATCTCTTCAGTGTGACGTAATGTATCTATACTTCATCTCTACAGTGTGACATAATGTATCCATATTTCATCTCTACAGTGTGACATAATGTATGCATACTTCATCTCTACAGTGTGACGTAATGTATGCATACTTTATCTCTACAGTGTGACGTAATGTATGCATACTTTATCTCTACAGTGTAACATAATGTATGCATACTTCATCTCTACAGTGTGACATAATGTATGCATACTTCATCTATACAGTGTGACATAATGTATGCATACTTTATCTCTACAGTGTGACATAATGTATGCATACTTCATCTATACAGTGTGACATAATGTATGCATACTTTATCTCTACAGTGTGACGTAATGTATCTATACTTCATCTATACAGTGTGACATAATGTATCCATACTTCATCTTTACACAGTGACATAATGTATGCATACTTCATCTCTACAGTGTGACATAATGTATGCATACTTCATCTCTACAGTGTGACGTAATGTATGCATGCTTTATCTCTACAGTGTAACATAATGTATGCATACTTCATCTCTACAGTGTGACATAATGTATCTATACTTCATCTCTACACAGTGACATAATGTATGCATACTTTATCTCTACAGTGTGACGTAATGTATGCATACTTTATCTCTACAGTGTGACGTAATGTATGCATACTTTATCTCTACAGTGTGACATAATGTATGCATACTTTATCTCTACAGTGTGACATAATGTATGCATACTTAATCTCTACAGTGTGACGTAATGTATGCATACTTCATCTCTACAGTGTGATATAATGTTTATCTCTACAGTGTGACATAATGTATCTATACTTTATCTCTACAGAGTAACATAATGTATCTATACTTTATCTCTACAGTGTGACATAATGTATCTATACTTTATCTGTATAGAGTTACATAATGTATCTATACTTTATCTCTACAGAGTAACATAATGTATCTATACTTTATCTCTACTATATATTTATCTTTATCCAATATGTTTATTTCAGAGAGTCTACATGTAAACATGCCTGTGATGGTATTTCAGTTTTATACCATCAGGCCTACAGGAGAGAGTTATGTCATTTAAGGTTTAAATTGTTCAAGCGGCCAGAGGAAGAGCGTACTTGTGTTTGTGATGATAGTCTTCCTGCTTCACGTACCAGTTATACACAATTGGGGTCAATATAGTCACCATATACTGTTCAGTTTGACATTGGCACGTCTTGTTGTGAAATCAGATGTGCAGTGTGCGAGTGTGGGAGTGAAGAGTTGGGGTAGGAGTGGGGGGTGGGGCTGGAGCTAGGGGAGAGAGAGAGAGAGAGAGAGAGAGAGAGAGAGAGAGAGAGAGAGAGAGAGAGAGAGAGAGAGAGAGAGAGAGAGAGAGAGAGAGAGAGAGAGAGAGAGAGAGAGATTACACGTCGAGTAGTATGGCCATGGATGAGATGGCAAGGTGTGGTGAGATGAGAAGTGGTATGTTGGAGTGTTCTCTGTTGTTTGGTGTATGTATGCGTGGCGTGTGTGTTGTTTGGTGTGTGTGTTTGTTTGTGTGTGTTTGTCTGTTTGTTTGTTTATGTGTGTGTGTGTGTGTGTGTGTGTAGATGGTGTGGAATGCCATGTCTGTGTGAATTAGCAAGGTGCCACGTGTGGTATGACTGTTGTATTGTTGTGTTGTATTGTTGAGTGTATCTTGTGGTATGGAGTTGTATGGGGTTGGTACAATGTTGAAGGCTGGGGATAACTGCTCTGCATTTTTAGCTCTGACGTCCAGCATATTACGATATGATGTATGAACAAAACTGGTACTACATTCGCCTCAGTCCATGATATACCAGAAATGGACATTAAACTCAAAAGATCTGAACTGTACGGCAGTTATGAGCCAATTAACAAATTAGCCATATCTAAAACACATGGAATTATAAGAGATCTGGATTACATTTTAATCCAAACCACCGACAACAATAGTGAAAGCCCGTCAAAGGATCATACTATAACCGTTGTCTAATCTGTTAGAACTACAGCTAGGGCTTCTAACCACGTATTCAAGATAAATATAATTACCAGCGACAAAAACCGTCCTACATCAGCTTCACGAAGGAACTGAGGAACATGATAAACACACACATCAACCTCCCCTCAAAGAAAGGAACATCGTCAACACAAACATATACTCACTTGCACGGCAGCGCTACGTCCCCGCGGGCACCGGTTTGTAGAACACCCATGATGTCCAGGGATCGCCAGCGTTATCCCTTGCAAATCCCACACCATGTTTTCAAAGACTCTCAGACCTGTTCGGAAATATTCCTTGATTTCGACACTGAAGCTGTCGTGATTAGGAACATGCCCAGCTGTGTTCGTCAAGCAACCTTTGGACTCCACAGACGGTGTCTGAATGCTCTCAGGGGCAAACAGAGATGAGATTATTGCGATTGTAATTAGATGCGACAGGCTAGAAAACGCTCGTTACCTCGGTATAACGCGAACGCTTGTGGAGGGTTTGTTTTGGTTTCGTCACTGGGCGGGCGATGTCGTTTTGTGAATGACGACTGTGTTTGGTGTGGACAGAGACCACGTAATAGACTAGACAGATTAAAGATAACGAAAATGAAGTTTGTTTGGTGCTTGCAGCCGTTGTGGTTTGGGCGTACAGGAAAAGGGGTGGGGTAGCCAAGTGGTTAAAGCGTTCGCTCCTCACGCAGAAGACCTGGGTTCGATTTCCTACATTGATACAGTGTGTGAAACCCATTTATGGTTACCCCTGCCGTCTTATTGCTGGAATATTGCTATACGCTACGTAAAACCAAACTCACTCACTCACTCATACAGATGGTACTTCTTGATGCCATGGCAACGGCTCGGATTGATGGCGATAAACAAGCACGTGTCGGTTCGGTCAGTGAATGAATAGAGTTGTATGCCGTTTTTAGCAATGTTCCAACAATATCACGGCAGGGGACACCATCATCGTCGTCGTCGTCGTCATCATCATCAGAAACATCATCAGAAACATAATCATCATCATCATCCAACATAGATAGGTGCGTGCCGGCAGCATTACGTCAGAATGGCAAGGATTTTATATGCTGCTTAACGTCGCACTATAAGCAATATTCCAGCTATATGGCGGCGGTCTGTAAATAGTCTGGACCAGACGATCCAGTGATCAGTAGCATGAACATCGACCTTCACAATTGGAATACGATGACATGTGTCAACCAAGTCAGCGAGCCTGACCACCCGATCCCGTTAGTCGCCTCTTACGACAAGCACGGGCTACTGAAGACCAATTCCAACCCGGATCTTCAGGGTTAGCTAGGTTCAGAAATACACTCTGTCACAAATAGGTACCGTTACCGCGTTTTACAACCACAAACACTCAACACTAGCCCGATATCGGGCATAGTCTATTTATGCTACAAAGCCGTAGAGGAACTGTCCTACTTCAGTCGTCCAAGATCAAAGAGATACTTCACAGAGGCGCTTAGCACATCGTAACCTGAGGTTGATGAACCTAGAGTGATAACGGTAGTAGTGAACTCGACACGAAATAGACTACGCGAGCTGTGTCTTGTGATTTGAGAGTTGAGTAAGTGAGTGAGTGAGTGAGTTTAGTTTTACGCGCTTTTAGCAATATGCCAGCAATATCACTGCCTGGGACACCAGAAAAGGGTTTCACACATTGTACCCATGTGGAGAATCGAACCCGGGTTTTGGGCGTGACGAGCGAGCGCTTTAACCACTAGGCTACCCCACCGCCCCGATTTGCTAAACCAAAGTCACTCACGGATGCTCCTGCTGTTTGATCACTGGATTGTCTGGTCCCGATTTGAGAGTTATAACCTGAAACTCATCATGGTTCAGCATTACATCTGGTATATGCACTATCTATATATCCTTGAAGCGAAACGGGTTGGATATAGATAAATGGACTCGGGGGTGGGGGCGAAATGATAGAGGGACCTTTACGCACAATGCACGTGTCTTGTGTGTGTGCGTGTGAGTTTTGTGTGTTCGCGTACGCGTAGGTTTTGTATAAAAGCTATATATCTGGCGTGCAGTTGATGTAAATTGTTTCGTTTTGGACAGACCATGCATATTGAATAGTATCAGGTATGTACAATTACCAGATTAAAAAAACTACCAGGCAGCCCCACCACTCATTCCGCCCACCTATTCCTTTAGCCTGTCTCACAGTCCCTCAACCACATTATTTTCCCTTGTGCATAGCCGTCCCTGCAATGCTAAAGCCTTAAATAAGCAAGTCTAGATTTCCCAACTCACCGGGGCTCCTTTTCAATTTAAATGTGTTTATTTGTTACAATCAAAATTAAACCAACGTTCAAAAGAAAGTACACACCTGATTCTTTGGTAAAATATTTCTTGAAAACAGCATTAATATTTAAAAAGTGTTTTGATTCTGCCTTGTCACAAACATTGTGCAAGTGTTTCCAAAACACCAGATATTGTACCCAATTACAACATTGCTAGCATAGTGTTGATGGTTTTATTGGGAATCGTCCCACAACACCAGGTGTCTACTTTCTTATGTACGTCAGTATATATTTTCAGGGACTAAGCGTTAGCTACTATTCCTGCAACAGTTTCTTAATAGAAATCTGTGGCTTTTAGTTTTTAACTCTTAACTCTTGGAAGACTGATGTGAGAAATAAACTGCGCATGTCTGAAATGTTGTAAATATGTGCCGAAAAACACCCAAACCATTTTATTTTGATTGAGTTTAAAAATAAGATGTCTAGGATCTGACCAGCAGTGTCTTATGTGATTTTGTAGTTTAATTTTAAGGAGTTTTAAGTATAAATATATTTGATAAATGTTGACGTATTCTTTGACTGTTGACTTAGCTCAATACATTTCAAAATATTTGGATACACTATCGGTAATTCAAGATGTATCCAGCCGAAAACAAACATGTAATGAAATTAGCAGACAGGTCAAAGATGTGTCTAAGGTATGTTCAATTTTATTCTGCACTCTGTCCCCTCTGGAGTAAGTGAATGAGTTAAGTTTTACGCCGCACTCAGCGATATTCAACCTATATGGCAGCGGTCTGTAAATAATCGAGTCTGGACCAGACAATCCAGTGATCAACACCATGAGCATCGATCTGCGCAATTGGGATACGATGACATATGTCAACCAAGTCAGCGAGCCTGACCACCCGATCCCGTTAGTCGCCTCTTACGACAAGCATGGGTTACTGAAGATCAATATTCTAAGCAGGACCTTCACGGGCCCCCCTCTGGAAGGTTATGTACAATAACATATATATTAATGAGCATTCCGGCCGTTTGGAAAAAATGAAAAAACCCCCAAACCCTATCCCCAAAACAACAACAACGATAAACCAACAAAACAACGCAAAGAAAATAAAACAAAATACCCGAAAATAACCAAAACGAAAAACTCGCGTGACATGATCATAAAAGGATAATAGATACAAAAGGATAATAGATACGCTCTCCTCACAGTTTAATTGAAAACGTTCGTGGTTAATTGCATGACGTCATTCTCTGTAGCTTCCAGGATAATTGCCAGTCGGTGCTTTCCTCTTCCCCGAACACCGCGTTATATCGAGATTGTGCCGCATATCGTGACCCGAGTGTTGCCGAATCATCAGGGAATTAACATGGTAAACACAGAGGGCCGCTGGAATGTATTTCTATCTCCTGGTTGACCCAGCTGGGAACTTATCTTCTCAGCAGGGGAGTAACCCGCCCTTGTATCGCCGCTCTCTGACAGTAGGTGGCGCTCTTTAGTTGCAACCGACACTATTACCGTAATACATCTGGGAAATACAGATGGTAACAATGCCGCTTGAAGAAGTAATGCAGATGTTGTTTGATTTACATGATTTACGGTCCCTAAAACTGAGTTGACCGATGTTGTATTATATCACCACTCATCGTTGATTAGGGGGCGGTGGGGTAGCCTGCTGGTTACAGCGTCCGCTCGTCACGCTGAACACCCGGCTTCGATTCCCACATGGGTACAATGTGTGAAGCCCATTTAAGGTGTCCCCCGCCGTGATATTTCTGGAATATTGCTAAAAACGGCGTAAAACCCAACTCACTCACTCACTCATTGTCAGTTAGACGAACGCTTAGTCTCTGAATAAAATCGAGAGAGAGAGAGAGAGAGAGAGAGAGAGAGAGAGAGAGAGAGAGAGAGAGAGAGAGAGAGAGAGAGAGAGGAGAGAAAGAGGGGGAGAGAGAGGGGGGGAGGTTTAAGTTTAGCAAATCAACTTTATAAAGTAATGTTTCAATATACTAGTATAATGTTATATATTATTGCACTAACATTAGAGGGTAATGCCTGTACGTGTGCCTGCTTATATTAGACTTCAATCAGTCAATCACCAACTATACTGACACATAGTCCACCAGTCCATATTTCGTCCCCTTATGATGCCAAAGCATCTCTTTACATCCCTCGGTATAACGCCGCCGAGAATCGAACCACCGTCTTTTCACCAGACTGACACTCTATCAACTGGACCACTATGGTAGTTACAAGTGCAGGCCAATCGTGGGTGTCTGTAAGAATTAACAAGTGCTATTTCTTTACCTGTTTTGGTATCTTGTGGCCGAGGATCGAACCTCCGTCTTTCCCCGTCCGCCGGACACTTTATCTACTGTACCATCGCGAGGGTTAAAAGTGAAGCCCAAATCTCGATATCTTTAGGTATTACCAAGTACTATCTCTTAACCTGCTTGGTATCACGAGAATCGAACCTCCGTCTTTCCACTTCCAGGCGGACACTTTATCTATTGTACCATCGCGAAGGTTAAATGTGATATCCAATCCTCGATATCTGTATAACCAAGTACTATCTCGTAAAGTGTCTTGATTTGACGCTGTCGGCGACTGAACCGGCCGTCATGATCAAAGACGATCCCGTAAAGAGGTCAAGACGTCGTAATGATATGATTATAGAAGACGTGTGAAACAGAATCTATCTCTCGGTGTAATAAATCACTGATTAGCATCTAAATAAACATGTGTCACATGAACCAACAATTTGCTTTGAGAGTGAGTAAATTCAAACTTCGCTTGAATCGTACTACTGCTCAAAGTGGCGCCTCACCAAGTCTGTCTTACCAGACAGACAGACAGACAGACAGGTTTTATTCAGTAATGTAGGCACAGTGGCCCATAGTACAGTTGAATTTTCATTTTAACAAATATTGGTCACGTGACACGAAATTATGGTTTTACATGTGATTTAAGGATGGACATCAAATGTTTTATGAAAATGGCAGCTGATTTAATAGTGTCATCGTTATTAGAATTAAGTATTTTATATATCGTTTGTGGGGCATCATTAAAGCATTTTAGATACTTCTTTCGGCCAGTAGAGAATGCCTCACAGTCTAATAATAAGTGACGTTCGTCTTCAGTTTTACCAGAAGAACAATGAGAACATGATAAATCT